CAGGCAGGTCTGAGCAGCTGAGAAGACCTACACCTGCCTGGTCTTACTATGCAAGGGAGGGGATGGCTTAGATGAACTGGAGAAGGAGGCAGGAGCCAGGTTATGTGGGCCCACAGAGGGTTATGTGGGCCCACAGAGGGTACTCCTGGTAAGAGCATAGCTTCAGCCTAAGTACCATAGAAAGGCAGAAATGAATATAAAGCCGAGGGTGACAACTTATACTTTCAAAGATGTACTGGAGGGAGACAAAAATGAAACAGGATGACTCACGCAGAGGCTGTTGCCAAAGCCCAGGTGAGGCCTGATGTTGGCTTGGACCATCGGAAGAGCAGAAAGAATGACAGAAGTGTAGAGATTCTTGAACCACCTTGTAAATAAAAATCATAAGACTTGCTAACAAGAGTGGGTAAGTGTGGTTGGAAGAGAAAGGGAAGAACTAAGGATCCATCCCGGTTTCTGGCCTTAGTGACTGGGTAGGTGCTGGAACCATCTACTAAAGATGAACCATTGGGGGATGGGGCATACAGGAAGGATGGAGGGACAGGAGTCAGCTGTGTTTGCCTGTGAGTCATGCAAGTGGAAGTGTCAAGTACAAAAAATGTCCAGGTGAGATCCAGCTTGGGAGTCTTCACCTAAAGATGAGAATGGCCACCAGGAACACAGGGAAGAGAGGAGGGTTGAAGACCCAGCCCCGAGGGTCTCAGCCATTCTCCACGGGGACTGCGGCAGAGGATTAACCTTCTCCCACAACCCCATCCGGAGAAGGAAGGGGAGAGGGAACCTCACCAAAAGGGAACTGAGCTAAGAGACTGAGAACCCCAATGGCAAAGGTAGCAATTAGTGAGGAAACGTCTTTGTCCATTTTACAAGCAGGGGCAGTTTGGGGCCAGATGCCTACTTTTAGGTAGAGGGAGTGTGATGGGGGTGGTCACAGACACCATCAGCTTCCTACTAATCAATCCTGAACAAAATGCAGATGTCATCAGTGTCACAATGACAGCCCTGAACTTTATCAAATGTGTCAATAAAGACTTTCAACACTAATGATACTTTGGCCACCAGGTCTGATTAAGTCCGACAACCCCTGTAGTTAGAAAGTGGTAAGTGAGCAAATGCATTAAATGCTTCCTTAACAGTTTGAAAGGCAAGTTACTCTTAAGATCCTATCAGCATTGGCATAAGCTAGAGGCAGCCTAGGCACGTGACTTGGCATTTCTGCAGCTTCTAAAGTCCAAAGCAGTCTGTCCTAATCTAGCAGAATGAAGCTGGCTGTTGCTGGCCCTTATCAGTGCCTCATCTGACCAAGCAAACAAATGGTCCTTATCACCTCTGGATAGGACTGTCCCACAATGACAGTGAGGCTGCCTGCCTAGAATGGGGAATGGGGACAGCAGGGCCAGGCTAGGAGCACAGGGAGCCCACAGAGACAGCTCCATATGGAGCTGCAGGGCACGAACAAATGCAAGAGGTGCCCCTTCTCTCCTCACCTTCAATTCCTCACTGCCCCCAGGGAACGTGGCCCTCACCGGAAGCAAGAGAACAGTCCCTAAACTCCTCTGTGTTCCTGCCTCCAATCCAGACCAGTCAGGCCCCTCACCTTGCATCAGTGCATTGGGGCTTAGCAAACCATACCCCCCCAATATGGCGCTGACATGCTGAACCAAAGCAGCAGGCCACTTTAGCTCAGCCCCTCACCTTCCCGCTTCCCCGGCTCAGAGGAACTTCACTTCAGGCCATTGTTCTTTGCGTACATTCATTTCCCCTAAAAACCATTTACTCCTACACCACCCCCCAGTACCCCTGCCCCTGTGAAGAAGGGCGCAGAGGCATCTGGGCCTCACTGAGGTATTGAAGAAGTGTCCCCCTGCCAGTCCCAGGTTAAATAAAGCTGCATGCTTTCCTCCCAGAAATCTGTCTTCTGTCAGTTCATTTTCAACAAAATTTCAGAGGACACAGGGGCAGCTTTCTCTTGGCCCTTACACTTGCTTTACTGCCAGGCGTTCCGTAATTGCACCATAACTAGTTTTAGCCAGCCTAGTAATTCTAGATCACTTCTATCCTTTCACGTTTCACATGGATTGGAGGTATTTTTTTGGCTGCATCTCTAAATAAATTGTTTTTGTGTTTTTGAAGTTCTACTTCAAAATCTTTGCAAATGGGCCAGACATTTTCTAATGATGAAGCCAAGGGCCATGGGCCTTGTTCTCTCCCTGCAGTTCAGGGAGCCCTGAGGAGCAACATTGCTAAGGGTGACGCAGCTGTCTGCCTCAGTGGTCAGATTCTGAAGGTGGGTAAGGGAGTGACCTAAGGGCTCACACCTGCCCAAGGAAACCTCTTTGCTGACTGCCTCAACTTTGCTCTGCTTTCTACCTGGTCCTCCTGGCCATATGAACCCCAAGTTGTAGTATAGACTGACTGTTCCGTCAGTGGCACTGAGGTGGGGAGGGAGTGGGGAGGCTGAGGGATGCCCAGGCTCAGAGTCCATGAAGGGAGCAAATGCTCCCCTTGAGTGGTGGGTTTCATGTTGTATTGCAAATACATTCAGCAGCAGTGTGAAGTGCTCTCTGACCTTCCCCTGCCGGCCTCCCTGAGGTCATAATGAAGCCAGAAAAGCAGCCTAGAGGATGGAGTCTGAGAAGCTGAGCAGGAGCAGGACAGCTGACCTGGTCTGCTCAGCCCCCATTCTTTCCCCACGTACCCTCCATGGTTATCCAGTTAAGGTTTCACCATGACTGAGGATGTGTACCTCCAAAGGCTTTGGGGGAGGTAGTAACACTTAGATGGTAAGTATTGTTCTACTGTTAGAATAAAGATTATGTTATGCTGTTTTCTGTGATGATTCTTTTAGATAAAGTTAAAATTTTCTAAGTTTGTTTCCCTGCATCCTATTATGAAAACCGGTAGAATTCTAACTGAGGCGGAACGGTCTTTGAGGGCCCACTCTTGCCATTCTCCAGATTTGCTGGCCTTCTGAAAATAAAGCTCGTCAGTCTCTGACAGGCGGCCGGACCCTCCTCGTCTGGTAAATAAAACCTGGGAAGCATTTTCTGGCCCCCCCGGGAAATTGGTCATAAGACCCTGACTCCAGCAGTGCCCTCCCGGTGCCCAGAGTAAAGGAGCATCTTGGTATCTGCAGATGCAGGGACACAGGACAGGCACACAGAGAAGAATCTGAGCAAGAGGACTTGCTGAGGCCCCTAGTTTATACCATTAAGTCATCCCCCTCGTCCTGTTATGTGTCTCCACGACTGTCCACTCTTCACCAACCTAACCAAAACCCACATACCGTTAACCAGTCCTTCAGGTCTTCCCCAAAGGCTTCCTTATGAAGGCTCCCCTGCCACATGTTATATAAAAGTTATGTTTAATAAATGTGCACACTTCTCTTTTGTTACAAAGGCCTCAGCCATGCCCCCAGACTGGGGAGAGAAGAAGCTATTTTGCCTTCCCCACAAAGCGATGGGTGAAGTTGGCAGGATTTGCTCTCTGAGCCTCTCGTCTGTGTCCAGAGTCTGGTGCTGATGGTGACTCTCCCCCAGCAGGACCCACCAGGCTGCATCTTTGTTCAGGTCCTTTCTTTCCCTCATCTCCCCTCTCATCTGAACTTGCCTCTCCTTTGTCCTAAGACCTTGAGGTCTTACCGGGTCTTAGCAAACCAACCCTATCTTAGCTACACACAGATATTAATGGTGCATCCATCAAAGGCAAAACTGAATGTATTTCTTCCCTCGGGCTTTGTCTGACCCACCCCATGTGCTGCAGTCCCACGGCCACACCGTCCGGCTGTCCCTACCAGAACAAATCATCACACAGCTTCATCGCAAACCCCCTCTGATTAAGGGAAGTGCTTCTCAGCCTGAAAGAACGGGCAGCCTGGCTGGGCGGCCTTCACCATGGGAGAGGAGAAGGCTGGGACCTCATGTGGGACAGTTCGTGTCACTGGGTCTCAGCACTGAGGCCTGCTCACACCCCAGTCCTTCCTAAGATCATACACTGTCACACACACTCTCACACTCACTCACATCCACACACACACTCTCCCACTCCTCATACTGACACACTCACACATATATTCTCACATGCACACTACTCAAATTCACACACTCACATTCCCACACACTCTGACACACTCACACACACATCCCCCCACACACTCACATTCCAGTGGCCTCTGTTGGGGGTGGGGCTTCACTGGCCCAGCGGAGAGTCCCATCCTCCTCCAGTCAAATCCATCCCCCAAACCCATCCCGGGCAGAGCTGCTCAAACACGGATAACCCAAGACTCTTGCCCAGTGCTCCTCCCCACCTGCCCCCATCACCTCTTCTTTTCAAGGCCAGTCCTCCCCTGCTCACCCGGGAACCACTGTCCCGAGCCCTCCTGAGGCCTCCCTGTGCCCCACAGTTCCTTCCCTCACCCTGACAGGCCCCAACCCTTGCTACCCGTGAGTCCTCCAGGCCCGGTTAGTGTCTCCACTCCCAAGCCTGCCCTAACCCCCTTAGAATCAGTTCCTCTGCGTCATCTCTTTGTTTCTCTCTGTTTCCTGTGCCTCATCTTGTCAAATGAAGGGGACACTCTACTTGTTGAGGACAGAGGCACCCTCATCTCTCCCCGCCAAGGACTGGAATAGTGAAAGATGGCAACCCCCTGGGTAGATGCCACTCAGATTTCAGGTTCTTGACCAACGCCTGCCCCTTGCCCCTGCCCCCTGCTAGCCTGAGAGGAGACCCTCCGGAAGGGTTCAGCGGCCAGCACAGGACTGGAGTCAGAAATCTATCCTCTATGGCTTTGTCACTGAGCATCCAAAATAGAGGGGGCAGGTACCAGCAGGTGGCAGACTGATCACTGGGGAGATGACCTGTCTCTGTCACCCACTGGTTAGTTTAGAGTGGTGATAAAACTGTCCTGTGTGTGTTTCCTCTGCTCTTTAAGCCGAGCTGACACCTCACTGTCAGCGTTAACACGCACGACGGCCGAGCCGCCCAGTGGCTGGCGTCTTTACCTTCTTCTGCTTGGTGGAGGTCAGTGCTGTCTTTCAAGTCTTCATCCACCCAGGGGCGAGATCCCGTCCTGGCTCTAGGCTCCCCCTTCTTTCTCTGGATGCTGCTATCTGCATTTTTAAAGATCCACACAATCAAAATGCAGAGAACCGCGACCAAGACTGGAGTCAGGAACAACATGGTTCTGAGTCTGATCCCAGCGCGCTGCCCACACTGGGGTTTAAACAAACAGAAGCAGGGGTGGGAAAGGCAGGGAGACGGAAGAAAGGCGGGGAGAGGCGTGCTGGAGAGCAAAGTGCAGAACCCCCAGCTCTGTGAGGACTCGCAAAGGAGCAAAGATCACGGTCACGTGAGTGTGGGGTGTGTTGTGGGTCCTGCACTAGTGCACTCGCTTTTTTCAATTGTGTAGTGGATCAATATATCCTCAGACAACGATCGCTAGGATCTGAGTGACCACCAGCGTGCTAGATCTCATCGGCAGGGGTAAGAGGCATTTAACCTTCCTCCTGTGGCACTTTGCTCTGACAGCAATGTCTCTTCAACCTGCCTGAAGCTAAGAATCACCTGGAGAAATCATTTTTAAAATATATTTCCAGATACAAATCTTCCTGAGAGGAAGTTTCTAGGGAAGAGGTGTAGTAACCTGCACTTTAAATGGCATGTTAGTCCCTCTGTCTGGAGGTTTTGCTGGTCCTTTCAATGATGCCTGAGCCAACATATGTGGGTGGGGGTGGGGAATCACATTTTACATTAAAGAAAAACTTTGATCCAGAAAAAGTGAAACATTAAAATGGCAGTTTGATTAATTATACAGGGTGGCCATAAAGTTCATGTACAATTTTAAATAAACAACTATTTTAAATTGCACATCAACTCAATGGCCACCCTATATGATAACTACAGCTTTTTTTTTTCTTTTGTTCAAACATCTTACTCAGTCTGGGATGCTCTAACAAAAATACCATAGACTGGGTCTTTTAAACAAAAGAAACTTATTTCTCATGATTCTGGAGGCTGGGAAGTTCAAGATCAAGGTGCTAACTTGACTCCTGGTAAGAGCTCTCTCTTCCTAGGTTGCAGACTGGTGCCTTTGTTCTTGCAGTAACTTCACAGGGTAGATGCTGAAGAAAGAGTTCATCTCCCCCTTCTCTCTTCTTATAAGGCCATTCATCTCCTTTGTCTAATCCTAATCCTAAATCCTAATCCTCCTCTAAAGGGTCTACCTCGAAACCTCAAAATACCAACCCATTGGGGGTTAGGACTACAACGTGAGAATCTGAGGGGACACATTCAGTTTATAGCAGCAAGGTACCAAGTATGTGTAATGATAGCATTTGAGTAAAGCAAAGTGGAGAATACCATACATTTGTATGTGCTTATATATTCATAATGCTTTCTGGAAGAATATACTCTATATTTTAAACAGCAGTTTTATCAGCATTACTAGTTTTGCAATTGCTTATTTGTTTCCAAATAAAGAGTTAAAAACTGGTTACTTGATTTGGGGATGGTGGTAACTGGATAGATGAGGCAAGGCAGGAGAAAGAATTTTTACTGTTCTGAACATATTAACTATTCAAAAACTTAAATACATGTTATTTATTTCAATATAATTTTTGTGTCTTTGCTTTGTTATATTATATATTGTAATACTCTTCCTGGATTCACATTTCCGAGGGCAAGCTCCTGATCTTATTCTGGGCAACTACACAGTGAATAGTGTTCATGCTCCTCTAGAAGACGCAGTTCCCCAAGACACACGGGTGATTTTTAACTTCAACGCTGATGTTAAATCTGATGATCCTGTATCCACTTTCCTTTCTGCTTTCCTAACATCCTACCTGCGCATCTGAGGGAGAAGCCAAAGGAATTTGAAAGAGAACTTTTTAGAAAAGAGATTTCTCCGTACATTGAGTGACACAAACAAACTGTTTTCAAACATTTCTGTCAAGTGCTCATTTAGCAAGCAATATATCCAGTGGGCAAGTCCAAAGCTTGAAACAGGATGTGCCAGTGTGGTACCGCACGATCTTATCTCAGTTCAGACGTGAGGCTGGAAAGACAGAAGGAATGTGTAGATCTTTTTAAACCTACGTAGCCCCACACTCACTAACAGCAACCTCCAAAGGGTATTTACTCTGTAGCTAATTGTCCAGAGAGTGGTATGGTACCGACATCTATCACGTATTCCTATAAGCCGGAATGGTGCTAACCCTTTGTCTACATCCTCCCATTGAATTGTCAAGGTGAGGCACCTTGGAAGAAAGTCCACTGCCCTAAAAGAGGATGAAGAGCTATCCTTCTTGGCCAAGGTGTAGTGAATGAGTTAGAGCAGGAGCCCTCAAAGTGTGGGCCTGGATTAGAAGCAGCAGCAGCATCTGGGAACTTGACAGAAATGCAGATTCCCAGGTCCCACCCCAGGCCGACTGATCAGAAACGCTAATGGCAGGGCCCTGCAATCCAGTTTCCACAACCCTTCACGGGGGGTTGGATGCCCACGAAAGTCTGAGAACCGCTGGGCTGGGGGAAAGACCCTCTTCTCATGGTCTTCACTTTATCCCAAATTTAGATTCTCCAATCCAGCACTCCCTACACCAACCAGAAGAGCAAAATACTCTAAACATCAAACGCTTATTGAAACATTTTTTACATAGTATCTTAATAACACACCGTATCTTGCACATAGCATCTCCCAGTAAATACAAAGTTTTAAGAATGGAAGTGATGTTTTTAAAACCATATTGAGGAAGATTAATCTAGCCACACAATCAAGTGCCAAGAAGACTGTGGCCAGAAAGGCTCATCAAAGAACCACAGTAGCAGGTAAGACCTAACAGGGCCCTTATGTTGGAAGAAAATTGTGGAACTGGGAAGAGTGGCTGTTTACATAAAATCTGGGGGCCACTGGAAATGACATGGTTCACATGTGGGGGATTTTAGAGTGGGAATCAAAAGTTCTATGTCTCCTTCTCCCAGCAAATCACACATTCCAATCCTAATTTTGTCTCACTCTTTACTTTCCCTGGCGGAAGGGTTTGGGATTTCACAGGCTCACTGAATTCTTTAACCCAGTGAGTATTTAAGTGGAGCTATGACAGGGGTGGGGAGAGGCTCTTCACAGAAACAGCTCTCAGGAAAAAAAGCCTGAAAGAAAACATGGGTCTCAGAAACTTGGGGCTGGTTCAAGAACATGATTCGTCAAGCGAGTCTGTCTCTGCCTCTGTCAAAACATTGACGTTGGCATTGGGGGACTTCCCAAGTGTTCCTTTTGCTCACCTAAGCAATATCTAATCTGTGCTGCTTCCTCTCGGACTGGGGCTCATACAAGATGAATTAGAGTAATTACCCAACCATTGTGTTCTTGTATTATTTGAAATCAATGCTTTTATGTGAAAGAGCTTAGCCACATGTTTTTTAGACAAGGGGATGGGAACTGTGAGTGATTATTGGCCAGAAGTATTTTAATAGAAAAAAGTCATGTTCCAGAAGCAATAGTATGTGATATTTATCAGTATTATATTTATTTTCCATAAAAATTGATTGTTGTTTTTCCGCAAATAAAAAGTCATCTAAGCAAGTGATTACTTCCCAATCTTATTCCTCCTCTAAGAATAAATTATTGAGATATAATTTTACAAAACAAGATGGCTCTTGATAAAAGCACTGCTGGCTTAGTGTTTGAGGAGGTGCCTATTGTGTTAGGTTCCTAGTGCTGCTGTAAAAAGGTCTCACAAACTCGATGGTTTAAAACAACAGAAATGTACAATCTTACAGTTCTGGAGGCTAAAGTCCAAAATCACGGTGTCAGCTGAGCCACCCTCCCGGTAAAGCCCAAGGGGAGAAGCTGTCCCCTGCCTGTCCCTTAGCTCCACTGTTTGAATATTGTTTGGGTGCAGAAAAGAAATACTTAGGAAATCTTCCAATGTCAAAATTAATGGATTGATAGAGGCAGAGACAGCCTCACTTGATGAATCATGTTCTTGAACCAGGCCCAAGTTTCTGAGACCCATATTTTCTTTTCAAGTTGGAGCTCTTTCTGTGAAGAGCCTCTCTCGGACCCCATTGCAGCTCCACTTAAATGCTCGGTTGGGTTAAATAATGCAGTAAGCCTATGAAATCCCAAACCCTTCCCCTGGGGAAGTAAGGAGTGAGATAGACAATGGTAGGATGGTGATTAGTGGTAGCATTGAAGTTCCTCTCGGCTTGTGGACACATCTCTCCTGTGTCTGCCTCTGTTGTCACACGGTGTCCCTATGTGTCTTTGCATCAGCTACCCCCTGGGGAGCTCAATCTCTGAGTGTCCCTTCTTCCTATAAAGATATCACTTGTATTGGATTCGGCCCCACCCTAATGGGGGGCCAAGCACGGCTGACCAAGCACTTCCCCCATCACCATTCTCTGACCTTGACTTCTGCCTCACTCTTCCACTAACATAACCCTTAGGAGAGAAGCAAAGCTCTCTCCTGAATACGCTGGGGCCTCTCAGATAATCTGGGATAATCTTCCTAAAACAACTTCCAAAACTGAGCAAAATCAGTGACCATGCTAAAAAATTAAAAACATTATGAAAGAATTCTATGTTAAAACAAATGCAATCCATCTCAGATAGTGTATTAGTTTTTCAAACATTCAAAGAACAGATATTAACCCAGCTAAATTAAAAGTTTCGGAGTATATATAAGCATGAAAAATTGACCAAATTATTGAGAAAAATTAGTATAATCCTATTAATAAATGCCAACAAAGATAGCAAACCACAAAAAAAAAAAATCATGAATGCAAATGAAATGCATTGCCAGACGTGCAGATGCAAAGAATCAGAGGCCTGTATCTGAATTTTAAATGATCTTGGAGTGGATTAGAACAGAATTTGCAAAGTCAACTAACAGAGACAGGCTGGCTTTGCTTAGTCAATTGTAATGATAATCACAGACTCATAGCTGCTGTGTCCTGAGCATTTTCTCTCTGTCAAGCACTGTGATAATCACATTATAGCATTTAATACTCATCTGCAAGGTAGATATTGAGAAGTATTCACCCCTGAGCTCCTGTGTTCCTGCATAGCAATAAAGGGACTCCCGCCTGGCCCCTGGCCTCCCTCTCAACCTTTCCTTGCTCACTGCTTAGCAAAGGATTCCTGTGTGGCTCACGTCTGGAATCTCTGTATTTCTTAGAGGCATATAGAATGCACATATGGTTTCTTCCTCCTATAGTAAGTCTGCTGGAGCAGTAAGCCCACTGGAACAGAATTGGACATGGGGT